TTTATTCTGTTTATATTGCTCTACTGATTGTTTTTGCTGTTCCTGTTATTTTTTCTTATACTTTCTTTGCAAAATCCCTTTTTTTTTTTTTTTACATTTGCAGCTTTTTTTTCTTCAGCTGCATTGCTCCTTAATTGATACTGTAGCATTACAAAAAAATACTGTGCAAATAGCAAATCATACTAGTATGTTGCTGTTGTAGCTACTGTGTACTTTGCGTGCTTTTAGAAGTCACTAAGAAATTCAAATGCTTATTAGTTGTCCTGTAATAACCCCTTGAAATAGGACGGCAGAAAATTGTAACACTCACCCAAAGCAGCCTGAATCTTCTAAAATCTAAAATTTGGGCTGAGTCTGATGGCTCTACTAATCTGTGCCCAGATTACCACAACCACTAACCAGGCTGTAACAATGTGTCCCAATGGGCTTATAAAATCATGTTTTGTTTATATTCCCATATTGTGCATGCCTGATGCCTCAGACTTTCTCACAGCAGCAGGGAACTACAACATTGAAGTTTGTTTTGACATTTGCTGCTCTTAACTAATGAAATTGCTGAGATCTCATTAGGAGAATCCAATTCATAAAATGATCGCTGCTATTTCTAATCCAAACAAGAGGCCCATCAGCTGTATCTAAGGATGGGGGAGCAGGGTGAGGTCATGCTGGAACATAGAGCAACTCTGTGAGAAAATTACACAACTTATAGGATTTAATGAAACAATCTGCTAGGCTAGAGCAGCTGGGGATGGTGAAAATGAGGCTGGACTGAGCCAGCCTTACAAAGATTGATTGTAGTAGGGTGCTATAAATGGGTCAATCTAGAACTTTTGATGAAAAGTTTTTTGAATTTGTTAAAAAAAAAATGAATGTCCTACTGATTCTTGACATGTTTGAAACGCAACCCTAATGAAAAGCTCTTTAAGGATGGAGACCCACAAAGAAACATTATCCAGTTAAATTTTCAAACATTTCGACAACAAAAAAATAAAACAAAATCTATTGTTCCAGCTGACCTGAATACATGCATGTGATGTATTTGCAAATTCAGAGCAGTTAAACAGTCTATTGGTAAAGAGTTAATAACTCTAAGATAATCTTCTAGTTTTGCAATGAAACAAGGGTTCCACTGTTGCAGCTACACTGAAGGCAGAGGTAAGTCACTAAATTTACAGTGTGTTTCCTACTCTACCTTGCAACGGTAATTAAATCTATTAAATGTTGTATTTAGCAACTTTACAAAGAAAAAACTTGGATTCATTAGCATGTATTAGTATGAAACCAAACTGTAAGCCCAATTTTGGAAATTTCTGTACCATTATATTTTTACAGCGCCCCCTATGAGCATATATCCAGAGACTGTGACAATTTTCACTACAGTTTAATTCAGTTTATTTATATAGCACCAATTCAGAACACGTCATCTCAAGACACTTTACAGAGACAATTCAACCAGATTATACAGATTGGTTCAAAGTTTTCTATCTAAGGAAAACCAGTTACCGTAATAGCATCAACTCATCAACTAGAAGGCAATCCCTCACACCAAGCATGCTTGTAGTGAAGAGGAAAACTCAGTTTTAATAGGAAGAAACCTCCAGCAGAACCATGCTCAGTGTCAGCGGCCATCTGCTGAGGCCGACTGGGGTTCGAGGAGACAAAAGCAACCTGTGTGACAACCCACCCCGTTCACCCTATGCCATGGTATAACAGTTCTGTTTGAAATACCAGCTGCCATGCCTGCAATCAGGCTTGAAGCCAGATCTGGCCCAGACCTGTCAGCTTTGTGGGATTCCTCTAAATAAATGCCTTCTGTCAACAATAGGTGGTGAGGTTGCTTGAGGACCCAGATGCAGAGACGATTGAAGCAGAGATGAGTTCTGACAGATTTAATTGAAGAACACAGGTAACAGAGGCAGCATTCCAGAAATCCAACCTAAAATGCTAAACAAACCAAAAACAATGGATGCATCAGGGGAAAACAGGCATGAGGAGCCAGGGAGAGACGAGGTGAGAAGACAACTATAGCAATGACAAGGAACCAGCACTGAGTGACTGCAGAGGTGGAGTATTTAAGGGGAACAGAACAAAGGATGGACTAATGAGCTGAATAAGGTGCAGGTGTGGGTGGAACTGGCAAGAAGGAATCCAAGGGGAAAGAAAACAAGCACAAGGGGGCAACAGAGAGTAACTAAAGAATACTTGAATATAATGGAAAATAAATCAAAGAACAAAACAGAACAACTGATAACATAAAACTGAAAACTCAGAGTCACAACAAATGGGAAGAACCATAACACCTTCAGAATTCACCTGTACATTTCAATATTAATACAATTACAACTGTTGTGTGAGGGCCTCAGCAGTTTGCTTTCTAAATGAACAACATGAAAGAAACAACAACAAAGAAACAGCTAGGGCTGAATGTAAATGCATACCATACCTTTCAGATATATGTTTTTTTTTTTAGTCAGGGTTTAACGTTTGTGGATGTAAGACGATAGAATGGTACAAATCTAAGTATCCTTTAATAATTTTGTAAATCAGTGTTTCCTTGAATGGGTTTTGTCTACAATGATGGAGAGGAAGTGTTGGAAGATGAGAAAGAAATGATTTAAGGAAACTAACGGAAGGATAAGGTTGGGAGAATATTCGGGAAATTTTTTTTTTTTTTCTGAAGGTAGAGGTTAAACTGATACTGTATTTCTTGCTTTTGGGCACTTAATCTAGATTAGATAAGCATGAGAGCTCAGCAAAATGGAGAGGGTTAAGGTTTTTTTGCTATCCGCCTTGGTGCATTGTTTGTGTTTCCTTCCTCTTTACATGTAACTAGTAGGTATGTCTACGGTTTAATATGTTTTTTTGTTTTGTTATGTCATGTCTTTCTCTCTGACCTATCAGGTCCTAGAGAACATCTCTTCACCTTACCAAACCAACACCTTATAACTCCAAATCAAAGACAATTGGTTTTACAGAGAGTATTGCTGTGTGGTGATGACAGATGCAGACATGGAGGTTTTCCTTTTCTGGAAAACCTCGTGTATAAAGAAACTGAACAAAGACGTAATAATAAGAGACAGAGAGATGACTGGATTAAAGGATTGCAAATCCCATCAGGGCGTCTCTGTCATTAAACCTCTGGACCTGCAGAAAACCCCCAGGAACTGTGACAAAACATGTTGCATCCAGAAAGTGTGTCATAAGCAAACACCCTTTTACAGATTTGAAAAGAAAATACATATATTTGATTTGCAGTGAGAATACACACTCATCATGCATAACATACTATTAATCACTGTTAATTATTTATCCGAACTGATCCAATGTTTAGAGAAAACAAACACACTTAAAAACATAGGTCAGGTGAACAATTTTGACATTTAAATTTTTAAATAGCTAAAATTAAGATCATATACATTAATATACGCTTACTAGCTCCTTTTGTAAAATGGAGCTCTACAGCAGGTCATTTATCCCTGCTGCCACCAGACTCTACAATGCAACACTACAACGGCAATAACTTGTGCAATGTATAATGTGCAATTTACCATTTGATATTCTGTGCAATAACTGTTTCTCTATTTTTGACACCCAGTGCTATAACTATTTAAATAAATATCCATCTACCGGTATATAAATACCCATGTAAACACCCTGTGCAATAACCCTGTATTATAACCCTCCTATAAAAGAAAATACTGTATATATCCCATGCACCTTTTTTCTTCCTTTGGCATATTCTTCTTCTTTGACTATTTGAGCTGATGTAACATGTACATTTCTCAACTGTGAGATCAATAAAGGCAATCAGTCATTCAATCAATCAAAACCAGTTAAGGGTTAAATGCCAGTTTGCAAGCTGCAACTTGTCCATGTACTCTTTAAAATCCTAGATAGATTCCAGCTGTCAATCATAGATGTTGGACATTTTACAGTCATTTTTACTGAAAACATAAGCATAATTGAGTATGAGGGCTATGCCTAAATACTTCAGTGTCCTGATGATATCAATAGTTGGATGATTAAAACCTGGTAGAAAATTGTGCCTTGCAAAAGGCCAATAATATCAAAACTGGTTTTAAAATAGATAACATTAAATGCCTTTAGAACTGCTTACTTAAAGCATGGACACCGACCCCAGTAAAAAGTTGAAAACTAAGCTTAAAAGTCAGGTCTGTGCCATAAAGCTCAGAAGTTTTTTATGCCTATAGGAAAAAACATATTGTCTGGCTTTGAATCTCTTAGAAAGATATACCAAAATACCAATTGGGTTTTCTAGCATATATTAAGGGTTTATAAATAAGTTGGACTTTACATGGATTAGATCTTGTCTCTTCTTATTAGTTGGGACAGAGGAAATAAATAATTGTTTACAAAATTAGTTTTTACTCATGTTTCATAGTTGTAGAAGATCTAGAAACAGGGTTTCTATACATTTACAAGTGTGTGCATATAAAAATATGATAAATATGAACAATTCAAATGTCAATGCAAAACAAAAAACTTCACACCTCTCTTTACTCTCAACTGCCATCTACTGGTCATTTATCTTTCTGATAAATACTGAAATTAAATATAGAGAAATGCTTGCAGTTTAAATTTTCAAATGACTTTTTAATGTAATTTTCTCATATATTATGTATCTATTAAATTTACAAGAGGGAAGTCAAAAGCATTTCTACCATCTTCACTGTTTATTTTTATCAATCCCACATAAAAATTCTAGATTCCTCAAACTGCTTAATCATTTTGTTTTATTTATGTCCCCATCCACTTGCAGCCTTTGCTGCTATGTTTAGGATCCCTTCATATTTAGGCAGTAAATACACAGTTTCAAATGAGTCCTGAAAGTGAAAAGCATGCAGCCTATCAGCTTTGAGGAAAGAATAGCCTAATCGTCTGAATGAAAATAACCCAAGTCCTCTTCTAATCCCTGCCTATCCCTTTTTTATCTGTGGATTCAGAGCAGGCAGAGCAGTTGGAGCTGTGAGCCTGAGAACTACCGCGATGCATCTGACGTTCCCTTAGGTCTTATTTCCTTTGATTAACTGTAGTTTAGTCTTGTAGAGTTTTAGTTGCTTGCAGATAGGAGAAAACATGAGCCGTCATTTTCTTCCTGCTTTTTGCCTGGCTTTAGTTTTTCTTCCCTTTTTAAGCACTTCATGCCCTTCACAATGCAGCTGCTTCTTCCACAAGTTAAGTGATGGATCAAAAGCAAGGTAAGTTATTTTATTTAAATTATTCTACTGCTGCTTTCCACTATTTGATCACTCTATGTAATAAGCAGTTTTCCTGGGCTTTTATTTAATCTGTTTAGCTTGTTACAGAACAATAGGTTACCACCTTTTTTCCTAAGAATGTTTATTAAATCAAAATAAAAGCTTAAAAGATGTTTGGTTTCTCAGAAAACCTCCATTTGTACAAGATTATTCTCACATTTATTCTCAGTTGGAAGATAATATCTCTTTAACTTATTTCTTTAGGAGTGTGCTATGTAACGACCCAGAGATCACTGTGATTCCCCCAAATTTCCCTTCTGACACATCAAAGCTACGTATAGAGAAGACGGCAATTACGCGCATCGCAAGCAACAACTTTCACTACCTCAACAGTCTGGAGTTTCTCTGGATGTCATTCAATTCCCTGAACTCACTTAATGCAGACAGTTTTCGGGGTCTCTACAACCTGGATGAGCTCCGGCTGGATGGAAACTCCCTCACTTCCTTCCCCTGGGAAGCTCTGATCGACATGCCGATCCTGAGGCTTCTAGACTTACACAACAACAAGATATCCTCCATCCCGGCCTCGGCCATCATGTACATTAAAAACATCACCTATCTGGATTTATCCAGCAACAGCCTCACCACACTTCCTGCTGAAGCACTGACAATGTGGCTGAGCGTGAAGCCTTCCCAAGACTCAGAGTCTTCCAAACTTATTCTGGGTAAGGATCAAGCTTTGGCACTTAGTATACTGGAAAGTTTTTTTAAGAACTGCCTTTGAGTTAGGGATTAGTCTAACAATAGTTATTACGTATCTACAGTCTTTCAAGGGGCTTGACTAATTTAAATGTAAATATTGTCTAAGCATACAACCTTTGTTTCTTTTGGTTCTGCAGGCCTTCATGATAACCCATGGCTGTGTGACTGCAGACTCTATGACCTCGTCCAGTTTCAGAAGTCCCCATCATCATCCGTGGCACTAATTGACACCAGGCTGAGGTGCGCCGATCCTGAAAGCCTGTCTGGAGTTTTCTTTACTGAAGCGGAACTGCAGAGGTGCCAGGCCCCCAGGGTTCACACGGCTGTCGCTCGCGTTCGGAGCTCTCTAGGCAACAACGTCCTGCTGCGCTGCGGAACTGTTGGTGTCCCTATTCCGGACCTGTCCTGGAGTCGTGCCGATGGCAAGAAAATGAATGGCACAGGTTAGTTCAGTCCTTTTACTTTTGTCCAAGCCTGAAAAACAGAAAAATAAATTATTATCTGATTTGTCCATTGCTTCAACTCCATGGGTGTAATTGTTGGATTTTTTTTTTTTTTTTCAGTTCAGCAAGAGCTTTCAAAGGAAGGCATCATTTGGTCAATCCTGAGTGTCCCTGCAGTCTCCTACAGAGATTCTGGGAAGTATGTGTGCAAAGCCACCAACTTTGTGGGTACTGCAGACGCCATCATCTCCTTGGTAATCACCGACTCCATTCGCTCGGAGGAAGCAGTCAGTGGCGTTTCTAAGAAAGGCAGCAGAAAGAAACCTGGCAGCATGGGAAGAGCAGCATACCAGGAAAAACTCATCGCAAGATATGTTCCGCCACCAACAAGTACTGCTGCCCAGCCTATTATTGAACCTCTTAATGGTAAAGGAGTGACTGGGAGGTATGAAATTGAGAGCTACAGTGTTTCTGATGGGATTTCTCAAGGAACGGCGAAGGGATCTTTCCCTAAGAAGTCAGGGGAGGTGGGTCAAGAAGGCTTGAGTAACTTGGTGGCTAATGCATCGTCCCTGCAGCAACTTCCTGAAAAGAGGGTGGTACGTTCAGTGAAGGTAATCGGGGACACAGATCACACTGTCTCTTTAAACTGGCGTGCCCCAACAGCGACCAACACCACTGAATTCAGTGTACTATATGCTGTTTTTGGTGAGAGAGACATGCGTCGCATTAATGTGGGTGCTGGGAAGAACCGTATCACCATTGAAGGCCTTGTTCCAAAGACAAAGTACATTGCATGCATTTGCGTCAAAGGCTTGATTCCGAAAAAGGAGCAGTGTGTAATCTTCTCAACGGACGAAGCTGCCAGCGCCAGCGGGACTCAGAAGCTCATTAATGTGGTGGTGATAACCGTGGCATGTGTGATCGCCGTGCCCCTGACTCTGATTGTGTGCTGCGGTGCGATAAAGAAACGCTTACAAAAGATGCTGGGCAGGCAGACAAAAGACATGCAGGACTCCTATGTAACGTTCGAGACTCTTGGTCCTGGAGGCAAAGCTAAAGGGATGGAAGGTGAATATCTGACCAGATTAAACCCAGATGAATCCAACAGGCTCCTCTCGGCGAGGTCTAGTGTTGACTCGGAGGCTATAGCGAGGACTGAAGGGCCACCTAATGAGTACTTCTGTTAAAACAGAAAACACACTCGGTCTCAAGAAGACGCACTTTGTTTTAAGGATGATGTTTATTGAAAAGGGGACAGGACTGATCAGAGTCTCAAGTGGACGTTTTGTTTTGAGAATTGCCTTTACAGGAACAGACTCAACAATAAACTTTGACTGGAAGCAGAAATGGAAAACAAGGTCAAATAAGTGATTTTTAACATAATATATTTATTTAAAAATATCTTTTTTTTTTATTCTGTTATGCACCAATGGAAGTGATGTTTTTATCTCTTGATGCCCTCAACTTTCAAAAACCCAGTTATCTGTTTTCTTCCTTAATGTAACTTCTGCTTTGTGTTCAAATCTAATATTATAAATCGAAAAGTTTAGAGAACCAACAGTCTCTTTAGTCTGTTTTTTATGTCAGTAAGATAATGTGCCAGATTGGCTGTTGGCTCAGTTTCCTAAACTACAATGCATTTTGTAATATGTAAACATTTGCAATATTAACTTCATGCATCTTACTGAAAATAAACATTTTTTTATATTGAATTATGTTCATAAGTTATTTCCCTGAAATCAATCAATGAATGAATAAAAGCAATGGAATGAGGTGAAAATGAAAAGGCCAATTTGAAATTCTTCTGTTAGACTGATCACATAACAAGGGGGTGAGGAGAAACAAATAAATAGTTTAGAGCTGGGAATCCAAATCCAAATAAAGGTTGTGGGTGAAGACTGTAAAAAACAAAGGATTGGTGTATAAATCACTCGGAAAAACAATGTTGTTTCTTTCATTCAATTATAAAATTAAGGGTCACTGAGAATCATACAGACTAAAATATTCCTCTCTTTGGTTTGTCACTCAGGTTCCTCAGCCAGCTGTGTAAGTCGAGACTAAAAAATATCTCAAAACAAAATTCTTCTCTCTGAGTAATGTATCTGTGGTCCAGAAGATAAATGTTTCTGGTTATGAAATTTTGTCCTCAAGGCATTTTCTCATAGAGGGTTTTAAAAGAACATTATTTTAAAAACATTGCATGCTTTGCTTTGCAATTGACTTACATGTGGTTAATACCAAATCAAAACCATTAACCTAATCTTGCTAATTGGTTAAGCTACAGTATACATGTCAACATATAAATTGGTGTTAAGTTTTTGTTGTTCTTTGCCCACAAAAGTATAGCTTAACAAAACAAAAAGCATAACAGCATCAAAAAAAGTTAAAGAATAACAATATGGCATTACAGTCTAACTCGAGAATACAAAATGTTATGGCTAATTATAAGTAAAACAATCTAAGTTAAATCAAAATGTTGAATCCGTTATTGTCAAGATATTTGGAAACTAAAAGATGACCCTAATTACTTATTAGATTAATCAAGCTGATTGAAATCTCTGCAAAATAACCTGTTTGTAAAAAGGTTCGCTGCCGCAGGTAATTTATCCCTACTGCCACAATACTCTACAATGCGGCACTGCAACGGCAATAACTTGTGCAATGTATAATAAGCAATTACTATTTGATACCCTGTGCAATAACCTGTTTTTCAATATTTGACACCCAGTAAAATAACTATATATATAAATATCCATCTATATAAATACCTATGTAAACACCCTGTGCAATAACTCTGTATAATAACCCTCATATATATATATAAAGAAGGAAGCTGTATATACTATATATATCCAATGCACCCTTTTTATTCCTTTGGCACCTTCTTCTTCTCTTTTTGACTATTTGAGCTGATGTAATGGGTACATTACTCCACTGTGAGATCAATAAAGTCAATCAATCAATCAAAACACAGTAAGGTAATGTTAAACAGGTTAACCATAGTGTATTTGTTTGTCTACCTTTCTGATTTTAAAATACTGACTCGAGTAACCTGAAAGACAGCCAGGGTTCCGATTATTGAGGTCAGATTACAGTCCTTTCCAGACATCTGTCTCTATCTCACCATAGCCCTCCCTCTCAGCACCGTTAAGCCTGACAGGCTCTGGCCCACTTAGTACAGATGGACCTCCTATTTATCATGTAAGAGCTGCTGCAATGATTGGGAACAAATAAATTGAATTAGGATGATTTTGAGGCCACAATTAAAAGAAAGATCCTTATTTGATCAACTAAGTGGTCGAGATGTTTGGAACTTGTTTATATCAGATCAGGCAATGTTTTTTTAGGCAAGTAGACCACTGCTATTAATACACCTTTCACTTGTCTCACATGTCATTTGGTGTCTTAAACATTGCGTCAAACCAGATTAAGGTAATAGGCTTTTCTCCATGCAGCCGATAGGCATGTCCTGCTCTCACCGGCCTTCTTCACATACTCATCCAGGAACATGGACGCGTTTTGCACTTGGTTAGGTATCTTCTTTGTGTTAAACATTATCAGTCCTGGATTTTCTACTTGTCTGCTGGGCTGCTCCTGCACTAATGATTATTTGGGAAGGTAGGCAATGCTTTATACTTTAAAAACATTAAACAGTTACTTATATCTAAGTTATGGCCTAATTTTGAAAGTGTAAAATTTTCCTTAGCATTTTTAATCAAAGGGGAATATCTCATATAATGAAAATATTGGCTAATTCTAGAGGATGCTGCACCTGCTTCATGACTAGGAACAACTTCTCTTGTAAAACCTTTCCTATGTATATCGTTCTAGGTCCCTACTGTGTATGGAAACCTCCATGGGACAGATCCCAGAGAATATCCCTAATGATTTTACTAAAATCCGAATCGAAAACTGCCACCTGACTGAAATACCCAGAGGTTCCTTCTCTCAAGTTCATGCCTTAGAGTTTCTCTGGCTAAATTTCAACGAGATCACCTTGATGCACATCAAAAGCCTGGAGGGACTTGCCAACCTGACTGAGCTAAGGCTACAAGGCAACAAGCTGACTTCGCTACCATGGACAGCATTTCAGAGCACGCCCAGACTTAAAATCTTGGACCTCAAGCACAATCGTCTAGATGTCTTGCCAGAGCATGCTCTAAGACACTTGCCAGCACTGACCTATTTAGATTTATCCTTCAATCAGCTTAGAATCGTATCAAAAGAAGTGTTCACAAATTGGCCTCTTTACCAAACCGCAGAGAAAGCGTGGGGGAAAGAAGGAATGGTTTCTAACGTGGTTTTGGCACTACATGACAATCCCTGGTCATGTGACTGCCGACTTAAAGGTTTTGTTGAATTCATCCGCGAGGTCAGCCCACCTATCATCCTCATGAACTCATACTTGAAGTGCTTAGGCCCAGCCTCCAAAGCAGAAAAGTATTTCCATGAGATCCAGCTAAAAACCTGCATGGAGCCGGTGGCTTCTGTCACAGAGTATAACATTTCTTTATCTCTGGGAGCAAATGCAACTCTGACGTGCCTTGTCCAAGCCAGACCTCTACCAAGCATTCAGTGGATGTACCCTCTGAAGATTATCAGAGGATTTTCTTGTAAGTTTTGAATGTCATTTACTGCAAAACTGAAGATCTTTTTTATATATGTCATGAAATATATGCTGGTCTTTTAAAAAATAGGACGTTTTTACTGTCCACTTTCATATTGCTCACTGGAGGTAGATCAAACCACCGGGGCATGTCATTTGCAAAAAACCCATTGGGATGAAGAAATCTACTGTTAAATTAAACCACGAGAAAATCTGAATTCATATAAGTTTTAGGTTCTTGTTTTTACTACCGGTATGTTGTTCTATCTTAGAGAAAACGGACTATAGTCGAGCAAAGTAAAGAGCATTGGCGTACAGTAAAGTTGCTCTAAATTAGGAACAGAGGTGTCAAAAGTATTCATGTTTATTACCCATGTAGAGTCAACTTTCTCCATTAAAAGTGTAAAAGTAACATTTTTAATTTTAATTTTTAAAACTACTCAAAGTAAAAAAGTAATGCAGGAAAAGGTGCCATGGACAGATGCTTTACTGCACTGCCTATTAATGGAACATCTTTCTACAATCGTGAATGATAATTTCCATATACTTCATTGCCTTAATTTTATAACTAATGGCAACAATGTCAAATTTAACTACCTATTTTGGTATGTGGCGAACCAGATGTTGGTGCAGTACTAATTCCCAGCACAAATAAATTCACTGTGTGGCTGAAACAAATGATTTTGTTGGTTTAATTTTTTTGAACTACCAACAGACCATATTGAAAATGAGCTTAAATGAAACAAAACTGTTTTTGAAAATGTAAGAAGTAGAATGTAGAGATAATTGCAAAAAAAAATGTTAGTAGAATTAAAAAGTAATTTTTTAAAATAGTACTCCAGTAAAGTATAGATAGCCAAAATTTCTACTTAAGTAAAGTTTAAAGTATTTGTACTTTGTTACTTGACACCTGTGATTATGAGATACGTACATACTACAATAGATTTTCTGAAAATATTGTGTTTTATGTTTTCTTTTTCTTGTATCCTTGAAGCTACCCAGACTCAGATAGACGAGGAGACCATCACATCCCAGCTGGTGATCCCATCTGTACACCTAGCAGATCGTGGAATCTACACTTGCATGGCCAACAATTTTATTGGGAACTCCTCTGTCAGTATCTCACTCAACATTGATTCCTCCAACTCTGCTGCCCCTCTTCCACCCCCTGTACCCATACTGTCATCTGATGATAGTCCCCACATTGACATCCGGATTGCCAAGCAAACCATTTATGGCATTACCCTGGAGTGGTATGCTGTGACGGACAATCCTGCAGACATGTGGTTCACCATCCACTTTGGTAAGTATTCTTCCCCCAAGAAAGAAATGATCTTTATTGGCCCTGGCATAAACACCTACTCAGTCAGCGACCTGCTCCCTGCCACCAAATATGAGGTGTGCGTCACCCTGAAGAACCACCCACCCAGAGAGGGTCAGTGCATAATTTTTGTAACAGGAAGTGACATTAGTGAGATGGAGCAGAGGGAAAGACTTATCCACATTATTGTCATTGTCTGTGCCATGGTTTTGGCAGTGCCTGCAGGCATGTATGTATGCACTACAGAGACAAGGTTCGGCTGTATGGACCACTGTATGGATTTCTGGAAGAAGCGCAGTAGACGTGGCGAGAACGCAGAGGGCCTGGAAAGGCAGAACACCTTCGACAGCATGCAGGCAGCCAGTGACGAAGCCCTATGTAGGGATTCAGAAAAACCAACAAAAAGGAGAAAATCTGAAGACAAGAGCAAAGGTGGAAGTGCTGCTCACTTATACTAACATCAAAGTTGGAAATTCCATCTGTGTAAAATAAAAATGCACATCTTTATTTCTAGTCTGTGCCATCTTGCAGCTTTTTATTTATATTTATTGGAATCAAATGACTTTGTTCAATGATTGCACACAAGTTGAAAGCTTTAAATTCTTTTAGTTTATATTTTTGAAGTTCCCATTGGAAACGTAAGCTGTCACCTGAAAATGCCTTTCTTCCTTGCTGCAGGCAAACATTGTTGATAACTATAATTACATACAAATATGCTCAAAAAGAAGTATTTATAAGCCAGTTCATTTGTAATACACATGCTTAATGCATTTATTTATCACAGGTATGTGAATAGATATCATGATATTGACTCTGTCTTACATTATGGGTACTGTTTTATGTTTTACTACAAATAAAACTTATTCAACAAGTCTTCCTTTTTCCAGACCTCTAGATGTAATGTTTTGTAAAAGATATGCAGCACATTTAAGCTGGATTAAAGAAAAGACAAATGTTAAGACATACTCTGATTTTTCAGCACAGTCACTCAGAGGATTTGTTACATAAGCTGTGTTGTCATGAATTTCTACATACAGCTGGAAGATTATAATGATTTTTCATCTGAATCTTTATCAGCAGGACATTATATCTCTGTTTTAATGAAAATTAAGAGTGTACCATAGAGTCCTTATACAAATGCATTTTAACTCAGTTAAAAATAAGAAAATTCAGTGCATACAGTTCGCTCTTTACTTATCTTTCTTGAAAAGAGGCCATTTACAGATCTGTTGTTTCCACTCAATGTGTACTTCTACACTTTCATGATGATTCCTGACTAAATTCTCTATTAATCCTCTGATTAAAGTGTGATCTGTCTGATTCCATAATTTTTTTATTTATTTTTTTAAACATATTGTTGTACACAAAATCTCTGTAATGACAAGAGCTTAAAGGCACTTCTGGCCACTAGGGGTGCAAGACCTGTAACTTTCACATCTAGCGCCCTTAGTGGCCACAAGCGCGCAAAACTGTGGCAGGATACAACAGTCAGCCGGCAACCTCCCACGTCTTTTGATTTGGGACTGCACTAGCTATCTAGGTTCACCTCAGAGGGCGTGAGAAAGGCTGCTGCTCTCTGGAGAGCACTGCCGGGTCAGGCCGGATTGCGAACCGGCTGAGCTCCAGTGAAGAGCCACTAGGTCGGACCAGGGACCCAGGTTCTTCCAGGTCACATTACCTGTCCAACGATGGTTCATCTTCTCCCACTTTACATAGTCAGTATTTCAAGAGGGGAGCCCCGCTTGTAGCAATGATAGTATTAAGCGCTTTATATTGGCCTGAGGAATCATTTATAATAACTCACACTGTGAACTCTTTAGGTCACATTCTGCAGTGACGTAAAGAAGAAAACATTCTCATGTGTTCTCTGAAAAAAGCCCCAACACAGTAAAAGACAAGTTGCTTTTAAATTTTGCAGGATTTTTTTTTCTTTCAAAAAATTTATCAAATCTGCCATTAGCATAGAAACTTAAACAAACTAGATGTTACCTCCCTAAAATGTACTATGATCCACAATATAATCAAACATAGATTTTTATAAATTAAACGATAGACCAGCCTCAAAAAAGGCAACAAAGGGATTAAATTATGTTTAAATATTTATTTAAAATCAAGACAGTACAAAGACAATACAAATATATTCAAAGGACCAGGCAAGTTGAATTCATATGTATTATATTCCGTTTATCTCAACTTATTTAAAACAAATATAAGTTAAGATCTAATTAGATACAAGTTATGATCACAGCAATAAGATGTTCTCTGCCTATCTTCAAAGGCATCTGAGAATGAGGTGGAAAGTATACTTATGTTGATTCTAAACGTTTTACAAATATGCTTCAGATAAATATGTATTTTACAAGTAAAAATCTCCCACCAGTATTGATGTAGCGTAACATTTTCAAGCATGCAATTATCTTTTAACAGCTTCCCACTTATAATTGGACTCCTCTTAGCTATATGGCTGAAACAATAAAATGCTATACATTTAAAATGGATGCATATACATTTATATAAAAGCTTTTCTTCTAGAATTACTCAAGCAGGCTCATGTTTCTACAGTGGCACATTGTCTTAATAAAAAGGAGCAACTTCTCAGTTTTGAAGCAGCTGATGTAACAGTAAAAATATCAATACACAGGTCCTGTAGCACTTCATTGTAAAATTTCACCATATTGTTTAGCTGCATGTTCCACAGAGCGAGAACTTTTTTCTGTAGTTGGACTGATCTGGTGAAAATTTCTGTGCTAAAACAATGCAGGTTTTGAAGCATTAAACTTTTCAAGATGCATTGAGACTAAGTCTTCCTAAGTAATCCTCCCCCAGGACAATTTGCAGTAGTGCTTCTTGCTGTTAAGATCACATAATCTTCCTCGAGATGGCAATTTGGTGAATTATCTGCAACTACACCACTGAACCAAGCTCTCTTCAGGCTTTTTTACAACTACAGCAATGGAGGATGCAGTACAGCCTACTTCCTTGATGTCTCCTGTTTAGAAGTACATATCTTTAAAATGAATAAATCCAAAGATAGGTCCTTTTACCAATCATGACAATGACTGCATTTAAGATAAATACAATGTGCCATTAATAAATGGACTGAGCAACCTTAAACCAGATGTTTTTGCAGTTCCATTTAATACAACCCTTGGTTATTCTCATTAATCTTTTGCTCCAGCTTCATCTTAAGCTCAGACACCAATGCAGAGCTGATGTTTCCCTCTTTGCGGCGACAAGACTTTGTTTTCTTCAGAGCTTTAGAAGTCAGTGCACCAGATATGGTTGGGACCGCCCGGGGCCGCTCATTAGCCCGAATGTTAGCTGGAGGTGGAGGGGGCAGGCAAGGAGCGATAGGAGGTGGGGGTTTCAGCCTTGGGCTGCTGGTTTCCTGTGAGGGGCTGCTTTCCGGGTCGCTGATGAGGAACTTCTCTGCTGGGCTGGACAACTTGATGACAGGAATCTTGAATTTCCAAGTCTGCCCATCCCTGGGTCGCCTCTTTATGATGCGTCGCACTGGCATGATTCTGTTTGACTTTGAGTTTCGCATGTACATTACTGTAGAGATTAACACTGTCACTCCTACCAGTACAAGAATGATAAACGAAACCAGGCCTAAAGCTCTGAGAGGATTGTCCCTACTTTTCATTAAAAATGCTGCCATAGGCCCCTTGAGAGGAGTCTGTAAAAGAGGACAAATATAATAAGGTTGAATCTGAATCAAATACTTGATAAAGCATTCTTACAGAGCAAGAAGGCATAAAAGATGGATGCTGCAAAGCACTGACAGAGAAGGCCCAGGCAAAATGTCTATCATGCAAATCAAACAACAGGTTCTCACTCACTCCATTATCTATGTTTACTCTGGTCTACTGCATGAAACTGCTGATTCAAAGCCTAGAGCTAGAACTAGGTGCTGGGAATGCGTCTGACAGTGCACAGCTATGGGGCTTTTCTCTGAATGAATGACACAAACATGAACCATGGATCCTTTTATACCAAAAGCGAGGTGTTTATATTAGGAGATGGAGACAGATGTGGACAAATCTGCTGCAAACCCTAATAAATATGTGCAAAGAACTTTAAAACAAAGTTTGTTTTGATTTACGTTGCATAATCTCATACTGAAAAAAACTATGGAAAAATGCAACTTTTAATAAGTATGGTGATGGACTAAGAGGGAAGAATTTCATATTAATCAAGTTCAACAAAATTACAAGTGGCATAATCCTTGATTCTCCTGAATTCAATACTTTGACCCCTCCTTTGCCAAAATAATACTCTTAGTTATTACAAGGTTAAAGCGATCTTATGGGTCCTATCTCCTCTTTAGCTCATCCTTCGTTTTCTGTAGGATTCAGACCAGACTGCAACAGCCTGCAACTTTTCTGAAATTTTTATTTTCATTTACTCCAATTTTATGGATCATTATCCTTTTAAAAGTCATATTTATGACCTATTTTTGGCTTCCAGCAAAGACCACTGGCCTTTTTATTTTTATTTTGTGGCATTCCTAGTAGTTCATGATGACAAGGACTCTAAGATAATTCATCAAGACCTTTTGAAATAGAAGAGAAATAGGCCCACAGCATCACAGCTACTCCGTCATACTTACAACATACGTTTTTGAATATATCTAATACTTTCTGCAAAATACAATTGGCTGACTGTCTCTGGAAAGCTTCATCTAAATCAGACTTTAATAAATCACACATTTTCAGAAGGTCCCCATTCTGAGGGATTAAAAAAAGTTGCAGGAATTTCTTTCCCTTGCTTTGATTCTTTCACTATGAAATGCATTAAAAGCAAATCATTTCTTACATCATTTTTTTTCCTGTGAATGATGAATTGATCTTAAATTAAAAGCTATATTTTTCTGACGTTTTCAGTATGAGATTAATGTGATGAGAGGTAATATTTTTAAGACTCAACACATTTGTGCACATCTGCAAAAATAAACAAATAAAATAACTTTATCAAGTCATGTTCTTTTCGAGAAAATATTGAGCTCACAGGTAAAAAAAAATAAAATGTTAAAAAATAATATAGTTTCAAGTTTTTTGTAATAAGTGATATATATATATATAAAACAATAAAAAAAAAACATAAAAAAAAAACTGTTGGAGTACTCCATAGAACAGACACCAATGTCTGGAGTCGAATCTTGAAGTACCAGTTGTGCCTCACTTCATTCTGCGGATCACTTTGATATAGTTACTCTCAGGGTTGATTCTGGACTTTTTCACTGCGTTACAGTACAGAATTGTGGATATGCAGATGGTCAGTAAAATTAGGGATGTGATAAAGCTGGAACAAATCCCAAAAACCGTCAGCGGACGCTTGCTAAGGCCCATGAAGTATGAAACCACTCGACCTTTGATCTGGAAAAAGCACGACCACAACACAGAAACAAAGCCAAAAACATGAAGGGCTACAAAATGAATGTATTATGAAAACATGGTGGATTAGGGGGAAAAAAACACATGTTTAATGGCTTTGAACCTTTAAGGATACATAGCTTTCAGTTCCTATTTATATTGTACATATAGCAAGACAAAAAAATGTTCCAAAACAGATGGAGTTGGCGGACAGGGCATGGTAAGACAAAAGCAGCAGCATGGCAAGGATGTCTTTTGCTTTTAATTAAATGTTTTAAATCTACAGCTCAGGCATGCAATGGGAGACAGTGGTAGTATGCTGCGATTTAGAACAAAAGCCTTACCGCCTCTGTGATGTCGATGTTCACCACAGCAGTTGTGCTGAAGGATGGAGATCCTCTGTCCCTGGCCTGGACCACCAGAGACCACTTGCAGTCCTTCTGCTTGGTGATATTCTGCACAATCTCCATAGACTTGATAAAAGGCTTGAGCTGGATCTCTCCAGTGTCTGCATTGATGTCAAATGCGTTGTCCGGATCAGCGGTCATGATAGAGTACTCAATGACATTATTGGGAGACTCTGCATCCTCATCCACGGCCTGTATTATTGAACAGGTGGAGGGAAAATAAGTTTATGGGTTTTCTTTGCTTTTAGTAAGAGGTGAATTACAGGACAAATGTTATAATAATAATATCACTCCACAATGTCACAAGCAAAAACCTGAATTTTTTTGTAGCGGATCGTACTAAACCAACATAAAGGATCCTATAACTGTAAAGCTGCTGTAAACAAAACAAACATAGTTTATTATTTTAATATCAAAAGAAAACTAAGGTACATATTTATACTTAGCCCCACTGGCCTATTACTTAAGGACCCTTTTTTTGTTGCAATTATGGCTATGTAAAAAGGGACTGCACTCCATGCCTGCATTAACACACCTCTGCAGACCTTCCTGGCTCTTTTACCCCCAGAAGTGATCTCATAGTTTTAAGAAATCCTCCAAAGGAACAGCTCTTAAAAAAAAAAAAAAAAAAACTAACACTTTCATTTATATAAGGCAGAGAACGGGTTACAGAGACCAGTGCTAAGACTCTTCTCTTAATCCAAGAATAAACACAGTGCACAGGAATTATGAATCACGGTAGTTTTTAATAAAACACTTTCTTGACTTACTGGGTTATTTTTTTTACAGCTCTAACATCCTGTACTTCAATCTAATATCTAACCACAGGGAGTCTTTTGGGGTAACTTACTACAAATTTTGCACATCGTGAGTGCGTAGTCAAGATCTTGTATAAGGATCATATAGTCTTGCCACATATTAAACCACTTAATATCCACCTCCATTCTGGGAAATTCGCCAATTTTGCATACCCAAATAAAAAAGCACATAACTGAGGAACTGTAAGCCCAAATTATATCTGTGATACATTATTTGAAAGCTAACACCTTCTAGTGTCTGAATATATACATGAAAATTGGGTGAGTAAAACACCCAAGCTGCATCAAGCCCAAGCTACATCAGTTCAAAAAAGACTAAAAATTGTTTTTTTTTTTATTCTCGTAAATAATTAGTCTTTTTTGAACAGCAGTAATAAAGACATGCTTGCTTGTTGTGGCTGCTTTATCATGGTACATTTCGACATGCTGCTATAATTGTGCTTTGGTGCTCGCTATGTCCAAAAAATGAACTAGGTGGTTGAATTGTGAAGAATCTAAGCTTTGCAATGAGATAACATGTCTATATTGGTAAACATTTTACCAGTGTAATGTTCATGCATTCTGAGTTATTATTTTTTAAACTCGCGACCCGGTGGGTTTTGAGAAGTTAAATTTAGTCTGTGATTTTTTGACTGTGATGGGAAAAACTATTTTATCCTCCATTCCCGTTAGGACCCCGATTAAAAACTGTGATTTTGAGCTTGTTTTGTTTCCTCTATTGGGCAAAAGTATTAGGTCAAGTAGAACACTAGCTAAACAAGGCTAGATGTGAGTCTAATCTTACTGATGCCATAAAAGCTGTTCTTCAGTATTAAAAGTTTTGGTAAGAAGCTGAACTGCTTTAATTCAAGGTTATTTTAACTATCCTTCTGTTTGTGGAAAAACTGTGTTCTTTGTCTGAGAGAATCTCTCCCTGTGCTTCTTAAATAGTTACTGAAATCCTATGTGACCAGAAAAGGCAAAACATTGGCACAAGACTGCAAATGTTCCCCTTGCAAAATTAATAAATGCTCTATCTCATTTCTTAATAAAATACTTTTTTTAATGCTTACTCATTTCTTGAATGCACTTTTCAATTGGAAAAGAGGACCTGACATTAAAGTGAGGCAGTTTTGTTGATCTTCATAAATCAGGAAGTTCTTACAAGATTGCCAGGAAAATGCCTTTTTTTACCTAAAATTGGAAGCCTGGGCCCTGTTTCTAAAAGTGGGATAAGTTAGAACTCGAAATAGGGTCCGGATTAAATTCCTGCATACCCTGGATTTTTTATTTCAAAGAGTCGAATAGACATACTGCCAAGAAAAACTTATCACATAAATTACTGAAGCTACTCTGGTCGGTAGCAGGCCTTCTTGAAGTTGTCCTAAGTCTGTAACACATCTGAGCTGAGATCAGACAAGAATAGCATTACAAATGGTCGAGGTAGTAAAGAACACACCTGGTGTACCAACACCACTTTTTCACTTATGATACCAATATCATAGCTTAGAGTATTGACCGACACCAATGTTGACTCAATACGCCCAAATCATGCATACTTTTATTACTTATTTTGTATTGTGGGATGAGAAAAAAGGTTTAATAAACCATAAACTGTAAACAGAAGCGAATTTAAGCAAAATCTTAACCTACATCCAGATTTTAGATGCAGGCTGATAAACTCCGATACTAACTTTTAGGGTGATAGCAGACCAATTTCCTTTATATTTATTGGATCTGGGAAGCCATAAGTGCAGGAACCTGTGGTCGTAGAAGAGCAAATGCTCATTACAGCCCGCCAATTAGATGTATTTTCAATATGGATTAATATATTTTTGAGCATAGATTTTTTTTTGCCAGGGTCAATAAAAAAACTGAATAAAACTTTAGCCTCATAACACTCATATGACACAATCGGGAAATATTTTTTAAGTATTTTTTGCAATCCTCCAGGGATACAACGTGGAACTTTTAACATACAGCTCAAGTGCCCATTAGACCCATCACAATTTCTGCAAGGCATCTTCCTTAATTTCCCTTCCTGCTGTGCAGGGACTTGAATCCAAACTGGGACCGAAGCACTCATGAAATCTTTTATCTATTCAACCACTGAATAGTTTAAATTTTATTCAATTATAAATTATAACTGAACTTTGCAGGCAAAAAGATAAAAAAAAAAACATGTAACAACACACACAAACACACTCACACATGCACTCTCACAGTTTTGAGATTTTTTGAGATTTCCTTGTTACCAATTCAGAAGATGAATAAATAACAAACAACAACACCAAACTGCACCTATAATTGGTATTAATTGGTATGTCACATTTTGAGATGTCAAGCAATATCTAATCATATATTATATTTCGAATTTCCAGGCATAACAGGAAGCATAAATGTTATTCACATTCACTTCTCCCTCACTAAATAAAGAATATTAGGTTTTACTTTGCAACATGTTTTATATTACTTGTAAATACATCTTGCCCAGCTATTTCACAGGGAGGGCAATAAAAAGTATAAAATTCAGGTGCATGTTTGCTCTTATTCATATTAAGTCATTAGCCAAGGTTTAACTTCAGGCACATTCATGATATTTGTTGAATAAGGCTAAACAGGGCTATATAATTAAGCTGTTAAAGGTTAAACATAACAATAGCTGATAATTGAACAATATTTAACTGAACTTATCTTAATTTGCCACTACATCCATTTTGCGCCCGCTGGGTTACACCTAGATGCATATTTCACAAGCACACAAATTCACACATTATTTTGTTATGTTAAATAAGTGCAGTGTTGAGGATAAAATTCTAATTCTCAATAAAATCTACCTTCTGCCACATTAAATCTTATTCTGAAATATGAGCAGCATTGCTTTTTTTTAAAATGTTTTTGTAATCTCCATATGGTATCATTAACATTAAATTTCGTTTGCGTACTTTGAGGCTTCTTATTACCTACCATTGCAATGGTGGATTGTGTTTTCTGTGTTCCATTGATCAGGGCTTTTAAATACTTGTGCTCACCTGGAAATCTGGGCTGACTTAACTCAGAGTCAGGTTAACTGATCAACTGATCTCTAATCAGAATAGATTTATCCCACTTACTGAAACGGGGCCCAAGGAGTTCGATTTTGGTTAAATGATACTAATCTGGAACTTTTAAATTACAAGAGCAGCAGGTGAAGGATCTGTTTCTCTTAAAGGCTCCTAAGAAAGTTATCAGAGTGCATGGTGTTGTGAAATCCTTCAAATACATAAACATTTTAGGATATAATGACTTTACATTATCTAAAAAAGAAAGTAAACTTGGAAATAACGAAACAAACTAAAAACAAACACTTAAACTCTCATTAGGTGTAGATATGTATTAAATAATTAGCATAATTTACCTGGACTTTGACGGGTGTCCCAATGATCATAGTCTTCTCTTGAAAGTCCTCATCAAACTCTGGAGGATGGTCATTCATGTCAAGGACGCTGACAAAGACTTCAGCAATGCTGTACTTGCCTTCTGAATCTTCTGCCTTTACATAGAAGTTGTATTTTGACCTCATCTCTGCATCCAGACTGGTCCAGGGTTGTGTAAAGATAAGGCCCGTGGATGGATGGATGGCAAATCTAAAAAGCAGAATTAAACCATTAATCAATGGAACAGATGTTGTGTTTAGTGTAACCATTGCAAACCAAGTGTTCCAGGTATAAAATGTTACATTTAGCAAGATAGGAGATTTCTGAATTGCTTTTCTAAATTGTGCTAATTGTGAGTTGTTATATCACTCTTGTAGCTGTATTAAATTTTGATACCAAGCAACTGCAAACTTGAATGTGTTTTACTAGCATTTTTAGACCATTCCAATGTAGCACCTCATTATTAGAGTCAACAAGGTTAAATTGAAGGGAACCAGATTTTTACTCAGTACTCGTTAATATGTTTCAGCCCCAATCCAGGAGTCTCTATCATTTCTGGATGTTTGCAGGTGAGCAGCCTGAAGTTTGGAGCTACTATTTTTTGGGACATGGTGGTCTATGCTTCTGGGGCCACATATTACCTGCCTCACAATTCCTTAGGTCCTTATGGTCTGTTATTATTTACTCATTTACCAAAGTCCTCATTAGACAGCTCATGTTATTTCTTTTAAATTAGTTTGAAATCCACTTTATGCAAAGCTGCAATCTCCAAAATAAACACAATTTTTTTCTGAGATTTCATTTAAAGAGTTTTAAAATAAAATGCATTAAGATGCATATGACAGCCATACATTTAATTATGTAACCCATGTATGATTTCCCCCAGAATGGTCTGAAGTTTGTTTATACAGTGACAAAGTGTTGAAAGGTTCAGGGACGAAAGGAAAAAACTTTTCTAGGTTGCTTTTCAAATAAGCAAGAAAAAAAATGTACTGTTAGAGAAAGTAATTTCAATTTAATTTCCCATTTTTGCAATCAACTGTCTTCCTTAATTAGAAATCTGTATAATCTCTTGAATTAACAGGTAACACTGGTTTATATTGCAAAGAAGCTTCAAACAGATAGAAATTGTTAATCTGGTCTGTATAATCCTGCTGATTCAACTGGATGTCTCTAACTTTTAAGTTCTGGATTTTAAAGATTTTGTTTGAGGATAAAGCAATTATCCTGATCAGACAAACTTAAATATGTCTCATCTGTTAAGTTTCTTCCCTTTTGAACTTCTGTTTAAGTTTCTTTCTGTGTTTTCAGTTATTTATGTCATACTGTTTTGTTGGTCATTGGTTTCTTTTCCAATTTGTGTTATATTTAAGCTGTGTTTTATTATTTATTTTGTGTTTTTTTAAGCTACTCTCTGTTGTCCCCTTGTGCCGGTCTCCTTTCCCCTAGCTCCCTTCTACTTCTATCCACACCTGCACCACATCAGCTGATTAGTCCATTCGCTGCTCTGTCCCCCTCTATCTATCTATCTATCTATCTATCTATCTATCTATCTATCTATCTATCTATCTATCTATCTATCTATCTATCTATCTATCTATCTAGTATCATCATTCCCGTTAATATTTAACTTTATCAAATGAATATGAGCAATATTTTCGTTGGGCTTTCTCCCATTTTATCTTGTTGACTTACTGTGTCTTTTTAGTTAAAAAAATTCACAGGTTGCTTTGAAACTGAAAACTTTCACGCAATTAATGTTGCTGTCAGCAGACAGGCATAAATTCTCACTTTTCCTTTGCTTCCTAGCTTTTCAAAGCAACGGTTTTCTGTGGCTCCAGCTGTCACATTGCATGTTAATTGGCTCTGTCTATGTGAGATGGGGCCAGGATGGTTATTTTTAACCTTCCAATCCAATTAGAAGATTAGCAGTTATCTTGCAGCCATTTTGGAATAAGCTGTTTGAGCAGCAGAGGGGCCTAATAAATACACCATTTGTTGTTTTACTCTTTGCGAAAAGGTTAATTCTGACCAGTACTGCTGTTGTCAGGCTTCACAAAAACTCTTCACCTTCAAACATTTCTTTTAATCTTTCGCAGATTTATGTGGGAATCAGAATGGCTTTGTATTTGTGAATATATAAACTGGCAGGAGTAAAAAGGTTTTAACTTACAAATCGGATCCTGATCCATAAATCGTGTATTTGACTTCGCCCCAGGAACCAGAGTCTGGATCATTTGCCTAAAAAAAAAAAAAAAGGCAGCAAAAAAGACAAAAACCCACAATGAATCTATAATGCTTTATGGATATGACAACAATTTGGAAACTATAGACAAAATTAAGTGTTTTATAGCCTAATTTGAATGCTATGTTGTAGCCCAACGTAGTATTTGTTATGATTGAAAGAACATGGAATCAACTGTGGTATTTTTTTAAACATCCATTGTTACTTTTACTTAATAAAAAAGATATTTTGACTTCTTAGTATCATTTTAAAAACAGATTTTAATTGGTTTTTTGAACTTTAAACAACTGCTGAGTACAAGTTGAAGTAGGCAGAATGTTCAGAACAAGTAGTTACTGCCTTACAGATGATTTGATTAGCTCTTTTCACAACTAAATGTTAAAAACACTTTCCAACCTTACTGTAATAAATGAAGAAAGCAGTAAGCTATGATTTCATTTATAGGAGGTAAAAATGTCCAAGTGAAATGTAAATAAATGCCAATAAAACCTAATGACTGTGTGTGTCGTTCTCAGGCAACAACAGTTATCAGGCATTTGCAGAAACTGACTGTGCTATCTCACATTTTAGATGAGCAGTTGTGTCCAAATTATTTATTATTTATTTATTTGCATAAATGTTTAATTTCAGTCACAAGCTTATGAGCATTAACACTCTGTTTAGGGCCATGCCTCTTTCAGGGGTGCACTAAATAGTCTGCCTTGGATAATTACCTTCCTGGATAACCTTATTACACTTAAGGTTAAGGTCACAAAGTCCTGGCCAGAGATTTTCATTTTTTCAGCAGAATGCAGCAACACATAAATGTATAGACAGATACATCTGACAGTGCCAATATTACCACGTTTAACAGTTGGGTAATGTAGCTTTTAGGGTTATTATGGAAGTACCACTGTTGGGGAGAATAACCACTGCTTTACATTTTTTTCCATCTCTAGATCATGGTGATTGTGTGGACTCCAAGAGACTTGGTGGGAATTTGTAATCCAGACTTTTTTTTTTCTTGTTTACTTCAGATCAGGAGTCTCTTTTTAAATCATGCTAAATAAATGATTATGAGACTAAAATAATTTTTTTCAGGCAGCAATGCAGCCTGAATCTGGCAACTGAAATTTAACTCTGCTTTTAAAAAAATGTGGCAGATGCATCAATTAAGAAGGAGCGGAGTTGCCTCGTAATATTTTGTTTGGGTAGGAGGTTTCTTCAATGTATTCAACAGCGATTTGAAAAGACTATTTTTAAGTGGATTTTAAAGGGGGAAAATAGCCTTTTTAAATAATTTTGTGTTATTATTAAAGTACTAAAGGTTAAAATAGATTTTTTTGTCCATAATCCAATTTTTCACTCTTTTAATATAAATAAATCAATTATAATAACACAACAAATATTGTTCTGCTATCATTTAATATTTTCCTACTTTTTAACCATGTTTTTAAAACATTCCATTTCTATTTAAATGAACCTAAAAGTTCAAAATTTATCAGAGTAAGCCTATATTAAGCAGAGAAAGCCTTTTAGCCTTTCTATGTTTCCTTTCTGTTTGCTTTCATCACATAATACACAAAGGAGTTAGTACTTGATTGCATAACCATTGCTTCTGATGACTAAGGTAGTCTAATATTTTTATTGATGAAAGCATGTTATCCTTCTGTTATATAAAACATCCAGGCTTAGTGCATCCATGGTATAGTGCACCAAAAGCAATGTCCAAAGAAACTGTCATTTGTAAAGAAGGCAGACTTTTATCTAAGAAAATGTTATTCCTCTAACAGCATTTACCCTATTTTTGTCATAAACCTATAGTCTATGCTGAAAAGGGCTTTTTTTTAAGTCAATAAACATTGAATTCATATCATTATCCTTGTTATGCATTTTATCCGCTGCAATAAAAAAACAAAAACAACAAGAGCAATCTCATTTTTTTTTTGTTACTTTGGTCTTTATCTGTTAATACTGCTTTTCTGGATAAAATCTCCTGTAAACTTGATGGATTCTAGCATATTGAGAGAGTATGTGGAAATGGAAAAGCATGATAAGCCTTGGAGAAAAATAAGTAATTTTTCTTGAGCTGTTGGCTTAAATGTAGGAGCCATAAAAAAAAAACTATGACAGACAGCAGATAATATAGTCATTTATCCTCAGTGTGGAGCTAAGATAAGCTTATCTAATCTTACATGTATCAAAGGAGAGCTGGGTTATCAATCACTTTGCTTGTGTAAAAAGAGAGTTTAATTAACAATGGACTCACTGTGACGGACACAACACTGGAACCTCCAGGGGAGTTCTCGGGCACTCTGACGATGTAATACTCAGACGTGAAAACGGGAACGTTGTCATTTGTATCCAGCAAGTTGATCACTATGTCAGCTGTCGCACTGAAACGCTCAGGAGTGTCAATCTCTACCGCCAGCAACTTAAATAAGAAACAAAAAAAGGGATGTAATGAAATGCTTTATAGCTAAGGATAAAATATCAGCACATCTTTGGCATAATAAAAAATTTATATTATAAGGTTGTAAAAATGTATATCATCATGAAACTATGGTAATGGGGAAATTAAACACCTGCAGCAGCATTAATCTTTAATTTACTTAAAATCAATTTTACTTTTAATGCTTATTTAGGCTCCAATTGAATTGATTAAAAGTCCTGATAAAAATGTTAAGTTAAAATGTATTTCATGTCTTTTATTTTCACTGCAGCAGCATAATGTCATGATGAAAAATTTACAAATAGAATATAAAAACATGGATTTAATGCAGGAAAGAAAATCTCATAGAGAGAAATAATTGCTTTGTTTTAAAATCCCTTGTGGTATGATTGTAAGTGATACCAAAAATGTCTTTAAAATAAAGGTAGCTGAAGCATTCTTTACTTTAAGAAATTCTTTTTTTTCTTAAATTAATCAAAGTTTCTATGTATTTCTTTCTATTCCAAAACAATTAGCTTCTAGGCTTTATCTTGAGGATGCAAGGGAGATAAAGAAAGTACTTCAGAGATACAGTGGAGTGACATCTTTTGGGTCGAACATTCATAACAAAAATAATATGCCAACAAAGTGTTTTATATATTCGATGACTGATAGAAAAACACTTCCCACTCACTTTTAAGAATGGTAGGGGATTTGTAATGATCTGGAGCGGCTCTTTTTCAGAGCCATGGGGCCTTTATTTGATTACGTGACATCATACAAAAAAATGGAAACTTCTAATTGAGATATTGTAAATGCTAAAAAGGTTGAATTTATTTCAAATTAAATTTTGATGATGAAATTGGTTTAGAGCTATTTTTTGTGAGAACAGTAGAAAAATCTAATCACTTTGGAAAAATATGTTTATTAACCACAACATTGGATGAGTTCTATTTGATTTATCTCTTATTTTTATTCAAATATTGTTTTTTTGTTATATACAACAGCTCTTTTCACATTCTATTTTAATTGTTAGATTTTAATTCTTGTCTTAAAGCTACAGTGTGTAATTTTCAGCGACATCTAGCGTTCAGACTGCAGACCGCAGCAACATGAACATCTCCCCCCCACCGCTTCTCCCCCCCAACAGTACGGCGAGCGTTACGGGACAAAATGTCTTCCACGACGTCCGCATCACCTACCTTTTCAAGTGATGAGGTTTGTTTACATAGATAATTTTACAGATAGTATTTCATTAGTCTGTGTGTTCAGTACCGTCTCAGTTCATCTCTCTCAACTTGCCGTAGTTACTTTCGAGCGTAATGGGCGATCTCGCAATCGCTAGTTTGTTGGCTCTGCGCTGCCGTAGCGCAAAGATGTCTGCCTCCATGGCTGCGAGACCCGCTCCTATGTAATTATAAATAACGAATTCTAAGGCAACGCAAATATTAAGGTTAAGAGGCTGAGCTCGTAGATGATGATAAATAACATAGTTATGTATAATATATTACAGTTCTGACTGTATATCCCTGTAATTATTACACACTGTAGCTTTAAAGGTATAGTGGAGATTTTCAGGTGGATCATCAAAATAAGTGGTCTTCCTAATTGTCATTCTGGTGATATGTTTACAAAGGGTCGTCCTACGTGTTTGTCCCCATTTTCACTAACCAGTGGTGAGTCTGACATAGTGGAAATATTGCAAATTTTCTTTAGGAAATCTTGTATGAGCGATGCAAACAGCAACTTTTCAACACAACGTGCACAAGGAAAGATGGGCTTGTGCATGTTTTACTTTGAGCTAGGCTGGTCAAATTAGCCAGTTACTATAGACACCTGTTTTATGGTGATGTCTTAAAGTCACAGAAGAAAAATCCGGACAATAAAAAAAGCTTTTCAGAAAGGTCAGTAGCAGTGTCCCCTTCAAACCACATGACTTGCCAGAACTAGATTAAAACAAAACATAATCTCCTTCAGCAGGAGCACAATTTCCATGTCATCCCTAATAATAATGCAGTGTTTACTAAATAGGAGATTTTACCTTAAAAGATAGGGTCGGTCCCTTTTCATAGTCTATGCCAGATGCGTCCTCCACAATGATGGTCACCTGAGCTTCATTCAAAACTGTCTGGGGAACCACTCGAAGTACTCGGCTGGGCCCCACCAGTCTCAGTTTAAATTTAGCATTTGCTCCCTAGAACAGGCAAAATCATCCAGTGAATATTAATTCCTGCTTTACAAAACCCTGGTATAAGATGGTAATTAGGGTTAGGTTACGTGACATGGAGGGAAAATCATGATAGCAAACAGATTTCCTAAATACCGTTTGTTGCATAACAAGGATGTACTTGAAATGCTTGGCAGATATTTATGTAATGCTGTTCAAAGCGGTATTATTTTATCTGACAGGGAAATATCCATCTTAAGTATCCATCATAGGGAATAATGAATAGGAATTAATGCAATCAATTGATGAGATTATCACCTGATCAGAGTCATTGACGGTGATCTTAAAGCCTCTGAGGATCTCCCCAGCAGGAGGATGCTCATACATGGTGACCTCAAACTTGCTCTGGGGTCCATTTTCTCCATAAAATGTCGGAGGATGGTTGTTAAGATCCACCACCCGGACAGTCACCGTGGTAACATCATAGTCCAACAGCTGATTGTCGGGCCCAACTTCAGATGCCTGGACACGAACACATGCAGGACATGCTCTATTTGTACTGGGCCTTGCATAAGTAATTAGATCCCTAGAAGTTGCCATATTCTTTCACATTTTATTAAAAAGCATTTAATCTAAAGCTTATATTGCTGAAATCATGCATTACATTTAAATAGCATATGCATGCCACTCTTACAGATAAAAAAAAAACATTTGATCATTTTATTTTGACTTTGTTTCTATATATCTGTTAGTCATGCACTGTAAGATGGCACCAAAATACATCAAAGTTTGAGATTCATTAAAAGTCAAAAATGTTTTAATTCAGCTAAGTTGAGGTTTTGCAATGTGCTATATGTCTTGGAAGAGATTTAACCCCAATAATTGATTGTAAGAAGAATTAAAACATAAAAGATTACCTTTACTTTAATTTCATAGAGTTCATTTTTTAGCAGATATGGAGGAGTTGTTAGATAGATGCATCCACTGGTGCTATTTATGTCAAAAACACCATCACTGCCTGAAAAGCAAAATTGGGATGAACATGTTGTGTCAGCTGAAGTATCAGATAAAGAGTTTAAAATGATTATACAGTACAATACACTTCTTTTTTTCATTTTCAACAAAAAGAAGCTCAACTTTTAAAATATTTAGTAATTTTTTTTTTTACCGTTCAGAATAGAATAATGAATGGGGTTGGGGTTGCCTTGATCCCCATCTTTAGCAGAAACTGTGTATATTTCAGAACCCTGCAATTTCCAGAAAATAATATGTATGAAAAGGTGGAACAACACTGTAAATATTACAGCTGGACAATGAAGAAAGAAGATCTTACAGGGACTGAGACTTCATAGACGTATCCAAAGTATGGGGTTCCCACAAAAGATGGCGGCATGTCTTGGGCATCTAGAACATTGATGGTTACAGTGGCGGTGGAAGTCAGCACCTGATGCTTTCCTTTGTACTTTCCACCTCCATCCTAACAAAAAAAAGTAAATCCAACAAACAATAACTACACATTAATTATTTTCTTAATAATACAAAATAAAAGTTATTAGTAAAATTATCAAGGCTTTAAACCTGAAATTTATGGAGACCATGAGTTACTGATGTGACCACAAACTCCTCTTAATATTTGTTATAGTCCAAAATCCAGACCATAACAAATTGAGGTGCGAGAGGTCCCAGGTTTAAATCCCGGACAAGCCCCCAATTTGGTATGGTCTGGCTTCTGGATCACAACAAATTAAAGGGAAGCAACGCATGGGATAACTTAAAACGGGATATATTTAACAAAAAAATCATAACTAGTTGGAGAGGAGAGTGAGAAAAAGGGGAAGAGACAGAAAGATTGGGCTAGCCTAGTGAGAAAAAATGGTGCATCTTAAACTGGGTCTTATTTTATCTTGGAGACACTGACAAGCTGACTCCACTTGCAATCAGCACCAATTAGAAGCTCTAAAACAGCGATGTTAAAGAACCAGAGGAACGGCTCGGGCCATAACAATACTAAAAAAATTTAGAGTCAAATATAGCACCATCTATTCAACAGCTAAAGAGTGACCTAAATTAGATTGTACAATGAATCCAAATGATACAGGAAATCTACAGCAGAACTGCAGAAAAATTAAAGAACTGAAGTGTCCGAATTAAATTAGAATGGAAAGACAAAAAAGGCTCAACTCTACAGTGAGATGCAATCTCACTGTAGAGTTGAGGTAAATCAGAGGGTAATAGTTCTAATGCTCCTTAGTTACAAACTTCTGACATAACAATAATAAAAAAAGAAGGAAAAGTCTAAGTTCTCTAAAACAGAAAGAATATTTATGTTTAGAAAAGTTCATTACTGGTTGCATTAGAATAATTTCTAAATTCATCATTCATTTTTTGAAATATTTACTTTCAATTGATTGCATCATTTTAAGTTGGTAAACATTCTTGCAACATCTATATAAAGGCCTGGAACTATGCAAACTACATTTACTGTCATTCATCTTCAATTGTTTTTTTGTTTTCTTCTAAAAGGCTCTTTTGCAAAAGACATATTTTTTATCCTGACCTCTAGTCAAAGTTGATATCTAAGGCGAGGTCTGGGTGTTATTCATGTATTTATTTAATTGAGTTGCCTCATGTTGAAAAACAAAGTGGTACATACATTTTGAAACAAATTTTATATAAAAGATAATTGTGAAAATTATGGTGTCTTGCATTAAGATTATTTTATTTTTCTTTATTAATGTCTGATGTTACTTCAGTCAGAACTGACTAATTAGAGCCCTCCATGCACACAAAACACTCACATTAAGAACGTAAATAGATCTGATTTAGCTTTTACAGTATTTTTGAAAGTGAGATAATTATATATATATACGAAAAAACAACAACATTTATTCTTGTATTTTTTAATTACGACTAAACGGGAGCTTTGGAATAAACATCCACAAAATGGTTCTTTTGGTTAGTTTTCTTTTGCAGAGGAACTCTTGGGACTTCTAAACACATTTACTGCTGGTTTAGTCTTCAAGCCAAACCTTAGTTACTGCAACAGAGTTTCTTGCTGCAGCTATAGAGCTGGACCTCTGAACAACTGTAAGCCCAGTGAAAAGAATCCCTCACCTTTGCAACCACTGTAACAAAATGTGTTGGTGTGGTCTCATAGTCCAGAGTCTCGCCAGGTTTTACTCTCAGGATCCCGCTGTGTCCGTCAATAGTGAACTTGGCAAAAGGGGAACTCTGAAGATTTAATGAGAAGAAATCACGCTAATGTGAGAGACCATTGTTTCCAGTTTGATTTGGCAATAAACAATAACAAACACTACAGTCGGTCTGTTTTTGGGCCGACACCAAATCTGAGCTTCTATAAAGCCCTCGCTGCGTTGCTCAAATGTAATTGAAATTTAATCCACTAAAGTAACACCATTTCCAGACTGTTCTCTTCGCAATGTGATTAATCTTTCTCTTTGTTGCTGTCCCATCACTTGATTGCCCTTTTTCTCTCTCCACATGGCAGCACAGCTCTCATCATGACCTCTGTTCCTAACCCTGGATGTTAGGTTTAAATCAGACCAGCTGCTAGCATTACCATATGCTAAAGAATGTTGCAGATTTTCAAATCAACGAAAAACATAACTAAATGCAAAAAAAGAAAAGAAAAAGAGAAAATAGTGATACATTTTTTAAAGAAATTGTTTATAATACCTTAAAATGAGGCTTCCGAAAGTAGGATTTCATTACAAATTTTAGTCAGAATTTGTATATCAAGTATCAGAAAGGCCTAATTTGTAATGTGTCAGCTGTAGAAGTCATATTGGATTACTTTCTGTGCACATAAAAGCTTCCATGTTACAGTTGAAAAGATTAGAGCTTTTTTAAATCAAATTAATATGAGAGTACATATGGAAGATGTGTCAGTTTCCTTTTATTTAAATAGCATAAAAACTTTAAGGAAACTTTTTTTATTTTATTTTTAAAAAAAATCTTTGCAATCTTTGTTTTTTCCCCTCCATAAAAGGTAATCCTGTATCAGTACTTCTTTTGTTAAATTGTGTCGCTTTCTTGGCTCAAGCTATTGACATAAAGCATTGTGGATATTCATCTGCTTGTTTCCACAATACTTTTCCCCTTGATCAATGCGTTTATGCATGTCTCCCTCTCATTTCGGGCTGAAACAATAAATCTGATTAATCATAATTAATCAATTATTGAAATAAACGTCAACTAATTTAGTAATCGATTAACCATTTACTAGAGGATAGAGACAGTAAAATATCCCTTTAGCTGACAAAGCAACCCCCTTAGAGCGGTACCTATATCACAATTGTAAAAAATATATATAAACATTTTGCATTTACTATAAAAAAATAAAAAACAAATGAATAATCACCCTAGTCTCATTATTTTAACCCACAGCTGGTCAATTTAAATGGCTGCCCAAAATGTGGTGAGATTTTCTTCCACTTTTTCTCCATAATTTAATTTGTTTGAAGGAAATTGTTTCTCCCCACTTTAGCCGCATGCTTTGGTGGAATAAAATAAATCTGTACCAGGCCTGAAAAGCTGATTTCCAACAGAAATTATTAAATTTTGCTTATAATTGAGAACGACGAGAGCAAGTATCTCATTTAATTACCTGTAGGTAATATGAGACACTGCCTCCTGAACCCAGGTCTTTATCTACAGCATGGACTCTGTAAATACTACTTCCTGGTGTAGTGTCCTAAAAAAGAGACAGGACAACATTAAACCTTACTTCATACTTAGGTTTTTTTTTTTTTTACATACAAAACTGATCATTAGAACTTGTATTTATTAAGACACATTACCTCTGGAACATCAACAATAAAAGGCAGATTTTGAAACTCTGGAGGCTCGTCATTGGCGTCTGTCACAAACACTCTTACAGTCTCAACAACCTGTTAACAATAAAGATACAAATGTTTAATTCTATATTGCCGCCATTCTTTTTTATTTTTTATTTTTTACAAAATTAAGTTTTCAGTTGTTTTCTTTCATTCTGCACAAGTTAACAAGTTAAAAACTTAAAATAAGTGTTTTGCCCTTTATTTGAGCAGAATCAAAATAATGCATTTTAGAAATAGAAATAAAGTTGTTAGACTCACTGAGTTTAAGTGTATATCTAAAATATAGAAAAGTAAATAATAGAAGTAGAATAGAACTTAATAGATCCAGTAAAAAAACATTTTAAATAGATAGATAAAACTTTAATTTCTAATATAGTTAGCAATGTTGTAAACAAGAATCAACATTTTATAACATTTATACCAATTTTAAGCAATTTAATACATCTCTTTCTATCTCTTTCATAAATATAGCAGATTAGTACCATAATCACTTATTACTCTACATATACTTTCTGGTGAAAATTGTGAGAACTCATATAAGGTGTTATTATGACACATAACAGGTCCCAGACCTACAGCTGTTGGTTGAAAGCATTAATCATTAACAAGCAACATCTACAAAGCCAAATGAGTAAAACCTTACTTTATTACGTCCATCTGTTATGCTGACAGTCACTGAGATTTCATCTTGTTTCTGGAAACAGAAGAATTATATAGTTAACATGAGCTGAATCAGTTAATTAAATATTACGTGTGTTATAAAGTATCTTTATCAGCAGCCTCACCTCTCTGTTTAGCTCCTGAATTAAAGTAACATTTCCTGATTTGGGTTCAACCCTGAAATACTCAGTGGAGCCTATTTCAAATGTTAGGCCGTAGCGTACAGGATCCCCCTCTGGATCTGTGCCGTTCAGGATGTATACCTGTGTTCCTGTCAACCACCCAACACAGGAGGAAATATAAACATAAAAACATAACTCAAAGTTCCCAGTCATTTAATAAGAGGTTAGGTCAGTTCAGGCAACACCTATACAGTTCTATAGGTAAATCTACCCATTGAGCTTTGTCACATTCTTTCATACTTTTTAAATAATAAAAAATGTAAATCGTTTTGTTTGTGTAGATTTAATCCCTCTGAGTCAATCACTGTCTAGATCCACCTTTCCCCGCACTGACAGTAACCAGTTTAACCCATTATGTTCTGTAAAACAGTGCAAACTCTGTCAGACTAAATGTGGTCGTAAATGAACCTTTTTTAATCAGTTTGACTTTTAATGTAGTTTATTTTTAAGATATATTTATATATTTTGATCTAAATCATGGGTCACAAACCTTTTAAGGCTGACGGTCACTTCAAGGTTACTGAGTCATAGGAATAAGAAAATATTGAGGGTCAGCTTTCACCTTAACCTCGTACATTATAAGCACATTTTTATTGTTTATTTTATTTTATTTTAGACACTGTCATTATAAAATGCTCTATAAATGATTACAAAAGAAGGGGAAAAGAATAAAATAAGATTTGGGTTGAGTTTTTCTATTTTTAGAAGACTCTGAGGGCCCCCATATGGTCCTTTAGGGCCCCTTGGTGCCCGCGGACACCATGTTGGTGAACCATGATCTAAATAACTCTACCGTAGTATTCAACTGTCTCACTGCATGATTCTGCCACTACCATGTTTCAAAATAGGAACGCATGTATATTTGACATGTAGACTAAAGGAGTAAACATTTTTGCTACCTCGCCTGCAATGCTTGGGACAAACTGTGGAGGAGAACTCACAGAGCCCGCTTTCAACCAAAAAAAAAACTTGACATTCTGAAGTGTATCACTAATAGTTGTCTAATGTGCAGATTCTCTCATCCAAGCTAATGACTTCAACTGTTCTTCATGTGATCAAATGGTGCTTTTGTCTTTGAAGCTCTCCGTCATGCTGCACCATTCTCTGAAATCCGATTAGTTATTTCTCCATAACTTATTAAAAACTTGGGTAATAGTCCTGTAAGCTAACCCTGCATTCATGTATAATCCCATGGCAATTGTTTAAACAGGGTTTTTATTTATGAGTATCAGAGTATAAAGGGCTAAATATAAAAGGATGTAACCTGCATTTTTTCAGAAAAAAATGGTTGGTTGCAGATCATGTCTCAGTTCCTTCAGCTCTTCTGTTCCTCATTCCACATTGCAGTGTGAACAATCTCGCAAGGGACTATATTGTTATCTTCCTGCAAGGCTTTCATACACGTCACAATCCAAAAGGTATTACGGCGATTAGCTGATGCCCCATTACATATTCCAGAAATGTCAGACGTAATAGCTTAGTAATGTGCATTGAATTTCTTTTGACGCATAACATCATAAGATTTGTGATAAACATCAGATCCTAACACAAAAAAGCAGAGAAGGTCATTAAAAATAAAAGAAAGGGGGAAAAAAAACACATTTGACATACCGACAGGTGTATCCTCAGAGATGCTGAACAAGGCCATATTCCCACTTGAGCTGCTAGGGCCATTGTCAAAGAAATATGGAGCATAGTCTGATTGCCCTTTATGACAAGACAAATAAAAAGATGCTCTAAGTTAAAAATAGAAACCTCCATTCACTTCATAAGGCAAAATTAGGATAAATTATAAAGACGTTAGTATAGTGTTAAAGGAATTAATGATAAGAAAATATATGAGTGGTTTTGTTCATATATGTACATTTATCTATCTATCTATCTATCTATCTATCTATCTATCTATCTATCTATCTATCTATCTATCTATCTATCTATCTATCTATCTATCTATCTTATTGCTCCCAGTAATCTGTCTGTCTGACTAACATAAGTATATATCTATACATACGTATAATATAAATTTGACAGGAAAGAATTGTTAATTGGCTCCGTTTTTTTCAGTAATTTCTCACCTAAATACTTGCTGCTACAGAAATCAGTGCAGCACAAATTAAGGTCTTAAATGTTTTCTGAGTTTGATTTTTTTCCCCCCGTCAATGCTGGGATTTGTAAATTCCCTGTCAAAAGCAGAAAGATGGGAAACAAAGCAGTGCGTCACTGGCATTTCTCATCCGTTCTCCTCTCAACTCAAAGTTTCTGAAAATAAAAAAACCCCAAACAAATCCTGTTGATATTTTTGGTTCACATTGCTATACTAAATTGTCGACGTACAAAACAATAAACATTAGACTGTCCTCCTCCATTGCTTTCTGCACTTTTTTAACCCTGCACACATTTTGACATCTACAGTGACAGATTAAAGTATATTCTCTGTGTAGTTGTGAAGCAGAGTTGGAAAGCAGAGGGGAAAAGCCTTGTCCTCTAGAGCAGCTTGTCGACCAGCTCACTGCACAAGGCACGTGTCAGGGTAAGAACAAAAACAGAGGATTACTTGTTTTGAAAAAAAAAGATAAAGCAAAGTGGATAAAAAGACTATTAAAAACTTCAGCAGAAAATCTCTGCTCGTCCAGCTTGCCTTAGTGTCCAGGACTGTGATGTTGAGTCCCTGCTGTCCATCAGCAAGTACCAGTAATTATTTCTTTTTTTTTTTGTAATAAAGGATTTATCCTCTTGGCTGAAACAAATGTATCTATTTTAAAAGTTTGATTTTTCTTCACTTGCGTAATAAAGAATGCATTTTAAGGAGTTTTACTATCTTTGCAGGGAGTGGAAAGAAGAAGTCTGTGCATGTTCTTTGCATGTTGCAGTTAGATAATGTTTATACCTAAATTCGAAAACCTTGAAGTTACAAGTGTAGGCATGATAAAAACTACAGAATAATAAAATTAGATACTGTGAGAACATTCTGTGAAATTATCTTAGAGCAAAATATAAGATTCATTGGGGGTCTTTTATCAAAATAACTGTTAAAATGGATGGAAGTTCCACATTGCTTTGTTTAGATCTGCTCCAAAGCGCAGCGTAGGAGTTCCTCAGAGGACATGATAGTAACCAGTCCAAATCCTGGGTAGATAATTAACAGACATTACAACACCGATTAACAAAGGGACAATAAATTATTTGCAAATTCTACTTTTACCTTCGGGTTCTCTGCATTGAAGCGTAAAGTTGAGACAAATTCCAACTTTAAAGTTTTATATAGAATCTAAACTTTTTATTTTTACAACACAGTCTCAGGAAGAATATTTTTAATTCTTTTGACAGGGCATGTGATTTATCTTCCTAGTGAAAATATATTTATATGCAATTTACTACAATATAAAAGAGCATTTTTTTGGTTATGTCTATGCAGCACTAGTTCTACGGTGAGTGAAATTAGGCCATGATGAAAGACATAAGGTGTGGCTCATAGATGATAACAGAGTCCGATATCAAAGAACCAACGTTCAAACATGGCAGCTGATTCATTAGGTGGGGAATGTTTGTTGCAGCTTATCTTAGTATAAGGCTTGTTGCAGAGTTCACTGTCAAAAGAAAGTGAATTAAAACTCTTCATGAACATTTAAGATTAAATCTACTTGTTGCATTATTATTATTATAACAATAAGGTGAATCAGAACAAAATGACAAAATGTTCAGACGCTCCGTCCCATCAGCTCTGAACATGTGAATCTTTATATTCCAAAACATGGCAACTGTGCAGAAAAAGAGGGTTGTTCCAGTAACTGTAGGATTATTATTATTTGTTTTCTTTTTTTTCACTGTTGTTTTTCAAGTTATGCATGGGGCGGCGGCCTAATCTGTGTGACCTGCTGCTGTGTATTACAGCTCTGATCTGATCTGCCTGACAGATGACCAGACAACATTAAAATCCCCGTTAAGTGCTGGAGGGGAACCAGGGTCGGGAGGAGGGAGGGAGGGAGGAACGCTGAGGCCAGCTGCAGATTGGCGGGGCCATGTTGATGGCTACAGATGCCTGCTGAGTGTGAGTTGACCTCTTTCTTTTCTATTCTTCCACATCATAGAAGCTCACTGTTTATTAAGGCCACAGTCACCACCACAAACACTAGTGGTGGACCAGTTTGGCTGTAAACTTATTTGGGTCTAAGCCAATATAGATCTATGTTTAGACAAATTAAAATGGACTGTAATGCCTATTTGAAAATAATGATGTTGAGAGTAGAGGGTCAAATATTTTAGCCT